TGAAAGGCCTATGAAGCGGTATATAAGTCTACTGCTATTGCTATTGCTATTGCTATTCTTCTTCTTCTTCTTCTTCTTCTTCTTCTTCTTCTTCTTCTTCCTCTTCCCACTCCTCCTCTTTCCAAACCCCACCCCCTTCTAGCACTGCGAATGTTACCTAGTTGGGTAATGAGACGTCTTCAAGAAAACAAACAAGATCCAGAAGGACCAAGGACCCCCTCACACACGATTCTTTTTACCTACAAGGCCAGGAATCTGGCCTTATAGCACTAAGGCCCAGGTGCAGTCCGCAGGTGGTTACCTTTTGAGACTCTGGATTTCATCCAGCGAGAAATCAAAGATGCAGGCCAGGTGATGGTTGGTGCTCCAGGCCGAGGCAAAATCGCTCTGTGGCAGGAAGGAAAACGAAAGAAGGAGAGGGAGGGAGGAAGAGAGAAACACAAAGACAGACAAAGAGAGAGAGAGAGAAGAGACAGAGAGAGACAGAGAGAGAGAGAGAGAGAAGAGAGAGACAGAGAGAGAAGAGAGACACACAGAGAGGAGAGAGACACGGAGAGAGAAGAAAGACAGAGAGAGACACACACAAAGAGAGAAACAGGCAGAGAGGGAGACAGAGAAAGAGAGAGAAGAGAGGCAGAGGAGAGACAGACAGACACAGAGAGAGACAGAGAAAGAGAGAAGAGAGACAGAGAGAGAAGAGAGAGACAGAGACAGACAGAGACAGAGAGAAGAGAGACAGAGAGAAAGACAGACAGGCACAGAGAGAGACAGAGAAAGAGAGAGAAGAGAGACAGAGAGAAGAGAGAGACAGAGAGAAGAGAGACAGAGAGAAAGACAGACAAACACAGAGAAAGACAGAAATAGAGAGAAGAGAGAGACAGAGAGAAAGACAGACAGACACAGAGAGAGACGGAGAAAGAGAGAGAAGAGAGACAGAGAGAAGAGAGACACAGAGAAAGACAGACAGACACAGAGACAGAGAAAGAGAGAGAGAGAGAAACAGACAGAGAGAGGAGAGAGAGAGAGAAAATAATTTGCAAGAAATCCCACCAATCCTCTCCCAGCCCCACAAAGAATTTGCAGGCAATTCCCAACTGCAGAGCCCGTTGTGTTAGCAAACTGACACTTGGGATAGCATCCTCCAAGAGAAATTTGGGGCTTTTCCTTCTCCGTTCGTGCTGGGATTGGTGTGGGATCAAACTAGAGAGGAGGGAAGGGGGTGGAAAAGACAAAAAAAAAAGACAAGGAATCAGACAGGTGGCCCGAAGACCAAAAGGGAGAACTCGAAAGCTCAGGCTAAGAGCCTCCGCTGATTCCACAGACCTGCTTTTGTGGGAGGATTTGACTTTCCCCCTCTTCTTCGTCTCGCTCCGTCCCGCAAACTTATCCGGGAGAATCTTGCTGGGAGGATTCGGAGGAACTCGTGCCCGCAGGCGGAAAATGCACTTCTTTTTCTTGATTTCCTTCCCGCACAGAAACCTGAAAAGCCACCGAGATAATCCAGCATCTTGGCTCAATGAGAAAAGAAACATCCACAAGACAACCACCAAGGACCCTTCATTCCTCCACCTTCTCTTCTCCACAAACCCTTCTAGCACTGATGATGTCATCTAGTAAGGTAATGAAATGTCTGCAAGGAAATCATCAAGCTCAGAGAACACCAAGGAGCCCACAGCCCTCCTCCTCCTCCTCCTCTCACACCCCACTCCCTTCTATCACTGATGATGTCACCTAGTAAGTTAATGAAATGTCTGCAAGGAAATCATCAAGCTCAGAGAATACCAAGAAGCCCACAGTCCTCCTCCTCCTCCTCCTCCTCTAGCACTGATGATGTCATCTAGTAAGGTAATGAAACATCTGCAAAAAAACTCCACTGACCTCAGAGAGCACCAAGGACCCCATAACTCAACCCTGAGCTACTCATATCCTTTTCTGTCGAGTCAGCTGGATCTTTACACCTTTGGGGGAGAATAGATTCTTTTAAGCTCACCTGCTTTTGTAACTGTTCAGTGCATCTAGAAGGAGAGGACCTCGTTCTGCCACAGGGGTTGCAGTCAACTGGGGGAGAGATTTTAAAGGCAAAATTAGCCCCAAATTAGCTTTTCGTGCCAACCTAAGAATAACTAAGCCAAAGCTGTGTCCAATCCCAGCATCCACCATCCTTCTCTAATCTTCTGTCGAATTTCGCGGATCTATTCTTGCTTGTCCCAGCTTGGGATCTTGCTTTGGGGTTTGGGGAAATGTCAGAGTGCACACAGCTTTACTACGTGAGACAACCCAGGAGCAATAACAGCAAACAGAGTTTTGTAAGAAACAGTGGCTTTTATCTACAAAAGTATATATACATACACATACTATAGGGAGAGGTCAAACAAGCAGCAATTACAGCAGGGAAGAACACACAAAGAGGGAGGGGGAGAGAGAGAGAGAGAGAGAGAGAGAGAGAGAGAGAGAGAGAGAGAGATGCCCTAACAGGGCCTCTTTTTATTATACAGGCTCTTAAAGGGATAACAGCCAAAAGCTTTGCTGACTTATTCCCATCATTACATCAGTGCATCATTGTAGCAGCTGGTCAGCTCTTAAATCACTACCCTGACAGGGAAGGAGGAAAAACGTGGAGAATTTATCTTTGCACACTTCAAGTTCGCAGATTTGATACCAAGCGGAGCCTGGAGAATCCACCCTTTGCCGTACGCCTCCATTCCTGCCCTGCGTCCATGCACGGGGAGCATCTAAATAACTTCCCATCAGCCACGGCAGCTGATAGAACCCATTTTATACAAGGACAGCTCCGGAGGGAATTAGCGTGCGGTTCCGTGGGAAGCAAATGATTAAAGAGGCGGATTTGAGACGGGCCCCGCGCACCTTTCCAAGCTGAAAATGGTCCCAGCGGTGATTGACGAAGGCCAAGATTTCCTCAAAGTCAAAATATTTCTTCTTGCGTTGCACGTCCAGGTTGTAGATGGCCAGGTGCACAATGTCGACCCTGTGTGTGTGTGCGTGTGTTCAAGAAACAAAGGGAGACAATGAACTTCCAGTTGAAGGAAATGATTGCAGGAAGGAGGTGACAGTGTTTATTAGCATAAGGTGAAGGAAGAGGGAGAGTATTTCCTGATGGCCAATTCTTCAATTAGTTTTATATACTTCCATAAAAATCTCCTCCTCCTCCTTCAATTTCTCGTCTTCTTCTTCCTTCTCCTGCTGCCATCTCATCCCTCCTCCTCCTCTATCTCTCATCTCTCGCCCCTCCTCCTTCTATTTCTCTTCTTCCTCCTCTCATCCCTCCTCCTTCTCCTCCTATTTCTCTTCCCCCTTCTCGTCCTCCCAGTTCTCTTCCTCTTCCTCTTCCTCCTCCTATATCCCTCATCCCTCCTCCTTCTCCTCTCCTCAAATTTCTCCTCTTCCTCCTCCCATCTCTCCTTTCTCATTCACCTTCTCTCCTATTTCTATTTTTCCTCCTCTTTCTCCTCCTCCCATATCTCTCATCTCTCCTCCTTCTCCTCCTCTCCTCAAATTTCTCTTCTTCCACTGTCTTCCTCCTCCCACATCTCTCATCCCTCCACCTTCTCCTCCTCTCCCCCCATTTCTTTTCCTCCTCCTCTTCCTGCTCCCATCTCTCCTCTCTCATCCACCTTCTCTCCTATTTCTCTCCCTCCTCCTCCCATATCTCTCATCCCTCCTCCTTTTCCACCTCCTCCCAATAATAAACATTAAAAAACCAAGCGATTCATAATGATCTGTACAGTAAAAAAACTTTTGAACATCACATGGAAAACTAGGTTCCTAATATCACGTGATCATTCTACCTCCTCAACTCTTGGTTGTTCAAATTTAAGGCCCGCATGAAGCCATGCAAAATCCAAACATTTCCTTCCCCCGGCGTGCATACGTTTCAAAACGATGCTAAAAACAACAAGGACATCACCCCGTCCCTAACTTTGTGGCTGAGGTTCTTTTAATACAGAAGCAGGAATCTGGAAACCAACTTTGAAAACTCAAACGGTGCCAGGATTAGAATGGAAGAAGCTCTCTAGGCTATTACATGCTTTGCTAATTTCCCCCTCCCCTCCCCACAAGGGCTAAGTGATGCCTGGTGCAATAAGAAAAAGGTAAAGGTTACCCCCCCCCCCGCCACACATTTGTGCTAGTCGTTCCCAGCTCCAGGGGGCGGTGCTCATCTCCGTTTCAAAGCCGAAGAGCCAGCGCTGTCCGAAGACGTCTCCGTGGTCATGTGGCTGGCATGACTCAATGCCAAAGGTGCAGGGAATGCTTTCACCTTCCCACCAAAGGTGGTTCCTATTTTTCTACTTGCATTTTTATGTGCTTTCGAACTGCTAGGTTGGCAGAAGC